ATGACGTGGGATGGGGGTATAAGAAGTAACATTGTATTATACGAGGAAATTTCGTGTAATCTTCTAACACTGGAGTGAATGTAAAGGTACGTGATGTTTTATTCCACTATTCGTTAAGCGATTTCAGCAAAGTTCCTGTAATAACTACGCCATTCAGGAAGTGATACATTTTAAATGCTATTTGGATAAATGACTAGGCTAAAGTTATAGGTAGGGGTTCCATTTTCTAAGAATCACTAGAACTGACGTCACTGCACAGGGCCAATGTGTAAGGTAAGTAAATCACATTATTCGAGGAGGTGTACTCGTACTATTAGATCACGAAGGATCAGAAATTTCCAATTCTTCCTTACAAAAAGCACTGTGGTAAAAAAAAATCTGAATTTCGGAACTGACAAACGAGTGTGATATCACAAGACATTCAAATACACATATACTTTAAGGGCAACTCAGTACTATATTCTGATATTAACTCAAAACCAGCCCTTATCATTCAAATATTTATCAAGCTTTCCCTTAAACTTCCTAAAATTAACTGCATCTACCACTTTGAGCTGTGAATGCGTTATAACATTGATAATCAATCCGTTAGCGTGTATGGTGGGTAGTAAATTATTAACTGGCTGCCTAGCCTCAGGGCAATAGTTCAAAATCACAGACAGCCTTGGTAGTTTTGTCAAAAATATCAGATACAAATATGCTCTAGAAAAAGAATGATCTTCCAAAAGTGTTCGAGTTATTGGGTTCTTATTTTGTGATTCGAAGAAGAGGTTTATCTCAATATCTGCAAGTTATACAGCAAACAAACCTTTTCAGTATTTTAAACGCGTATTTACAAATACGATTTTTTCTGTTTACCTGTCATTTCTCTAATTTATATACAAAGAATAACAAAATTTAAAAAAAACTATTTATAATATTTGTGGTGACGTAGGCAATGTACAGTGAGTCGCGTTATAGCTTAGGTTTAGAATAACCACGTGTACGTACGTCATGGCCTGAACACTTGGAGCCAAGTGAATCAGAAAGTGAAATCATTTTTCCACATATTACATCGTATTATTAACATCCAAATACCAAAGGTGGCATTACCTGGGTCGGAAGTTATCTTTTTATATTGGGCTTTACAGCACTTCAACGTTAAAAAGCACGAAACCACTTCGTAATTTCTGTTGTATCACCATGAGATTTTCAGTTTTCCTGAATAAGAAATCATCACCATGATATGTCGCAAAGTCTAACAGTGTTTGTATAACCACACAGATTTTAAAGTTATTTAGGACTTAACTAACTTGTATTTCGATAAATCTTATGAAAAAAGTTTCCAAACAACTTGATTCACACAACATCAATTAGCTTTGAGGTACTTTTTAAAACTATGATACTATTCTATAATAATCCTCATATTATAAAAAGCTGTCTGAAAATTAGTAGATTAAGCCATGACCAAAGCGTATAGTTTTACTTACTATGTTTAATCTTTACTTAGTTATGACGCGTAACGATAGTTTTACTAACCCTAAACTTTTAGACTAATATTTCAAGGCTCTTTGATGTTATCGTAAGTGTCCAGATTTTCATTACGTTGAAAAATAAATAAATGTTTAATATTAGTAAAATAAAATGTATATTAAAAACTTATTAGCAGTAATTCACACACGAATTACTAACTATTTTAATTATAACAGCCAGGGGTACCGGAACTTATTTTTAAGGCAGTACTAATATCCGGGACATATTTGAGCAGTTTTTTCGTTTTTTACGTTTACACTTAGATTTTTTTTCTCAAAAACAGGTCCACTTCACCCAGCTAACTACTGTTTTTTCTTGAGAATTTCACCCCTGATAACAACTAACTTCTTTAGAAGGAAATGCACTAAAATTCTGTAATACAATGGGAAATACCACTTCCGTATCAATCGAGACTTAATAAGTGTGAATCATTAAAACTAACAAGGAAACGATAATGCCTACTTTTCAAATTCCAATTACCATTAGCGTCACTGTGGTCATTATCTGAGGGTTTCTACCTCCATTAATATTATAACATGCTGCATACAGTAGATTGAATGCTATTTTATGTACAGTTTTGGAACAAATGCAATAAATTTTAATATGTTATTACAGAATAAACATATTAGATTGATGGAATTTATGTTGTGATGTTCCTTTAAATCTATTAAAAAGTTGTTACTACTCCAAAGGACTGGCAACATTTTGTACCAAAGCATATATAATCTGAAAAAAAATGGTTTGTTACAGTTTGGTTTCATCAATGGTTACACTTCCTGTCAGAAAGAAAATACTTGTAAAAAAAAAAAAATTATTTCAAAGAACAATAATTACTTATGTTAATGTAGGCAACTATGGGTATATTGATTGCATTACATGGTTTTTCAAAATATTTATTACCAGGATTCAGAACTTGCTCTTGAAATAAAATAATACATTAATTTTTACCTAATACATTTACAAGTACAGGTAATCACTTTTCCACATCTATCTGTAGACGTGCTAAATAATAGTGTGAAGGATGAAGGTGGATGACATTCTAAAAACTTGTACGTAGTGAAAGTTAATATAATGTTTATGTCAACCATGCTATATCCAATACCAACAAGACTTTTCATTCAATACCAGGGCTAACTAGGCCTGCTGGAATAGGATGTGGCAGTGGTTGAGACACTATGTATATACCATAAATTTTCACGAACAACAAATAGCTGTTATGGTGTGAACTAGATTTAGTAAATGAAACCTCTACTTACATCTAAACAAGGTTGAATGTAATAAGCCTTAAATTAGTCTTAAATATAACACGTACAATAGCACCATGACAGAGAAGGAACTTATTACAATACTAATAATTCCATTAAAGATAAATAGAATATCTCAACCTATTGACAAAAGATCTAAGATTCTGTGAATATCTAATTAATATCCATGATACTTACAAGACATGTAGTGATAAATAATTCAGAAAAAATGCAGGAATGTCTCATTGTTCACAGTAAAACTTGAAAGAAAGACCAATTTACTAATAATCTTTGTTAGTTGATTATTCTTTAGATCATGGATATTATATATATTGATTACATGTACTACTTTACTTGTCACTTAAACGTAGATACCACACCTATGTAGTAATATTGACACTTGTTTGGCAGGCAGTCTGATGTATACTGCAAAGTCATGCAGTGTTTATGAAATGTAAAAGCAGTTTTATATTGGACAATACTTATAGATACCAGTGTATACATATATACTCCTTCCTGCATCACATTACTTTCATACTAATGTGTCACCGGATAATACTTATAAATACCAGTGTATACAGATATACTCCTTCCTGCATCACATTACTTTCATACTAATGTGTCACCGGATAATACTTATAAGTATATCTGTATACACTGGTATTCCTTCCTGCATCACATTACTTTCATGCTAATGGACAATACTTATAGATACCGGTGTATACAGATATACTCCTTCCTGCATCACAATACTTTCATGCTTATGTGTCACCACATAATACTTATAGATACCAGTGTATACAGATATACTCCTTCCTGCATCACATTCATACTAATGTGTCACTAATATTTATAAAATTTCTCTCTTGTTTTGAGCATTCCTCTGAACTAGTAGTTCCATCCCCCCTCCCCCAGGAGTATTACAAAAAAAAAATTAAATTTTTTTTGCTAGTTTACAAAAGTTCCATACAAAATTCATTTGTAAACTTCTAGTTTTTTTTGTATATGTGTGTCTTCACTTATGTATGGAAACACATTACGCTAACACAATAGTACATTAACAGAAAACAATTATAAACATACCAAAGTTTTTGGGAGCATACATGTTCTGTCAAAACATGTATTATGTTCCCCATAAATAAAACCACTTTATTATGTTTATAATTAATTGTCAATTTAACATGTGTCTGTTACAAATGGTTCATTTATCCATTCAGCCTCACTAGTTACTCCTAATAGTGTTTACTTTTAGGCAGTCTAATGAGATAAATAAATACTGCACAATCAGGTTTTCTAATGTATTAAGACATGCTCGGAGTGACTTGCAAATACACAGGTGGGAAAACATGCAAAGGTATATTCTGTACACATGTATGTTCTATTCATTTATACTAAATATAAAAATGTACATATAAATTCTATCTGCAATGAGAATAAATAAACTGTTAGTGTTAAACACTTCAAGAGACACACAGGGTTTGAAATATTCTTGGTCTCGAATTTAAGCTACAAAAGACATTTCAAATAAAGTGTAAACTCAATCCAAGTTATATTTTACACTATAAACTAGATAATACAGTGGAGGAATAAGTCAAAACTTTTTTCCAGATTCCGATTGATAAATAACACGTTCAAATTGATGGCAATATAATAATAATAATAATATAATATTAATACTGATAGTGGTACACTAATTTCCGAGTGAAAATATGAAATTAAAAACTACAGATACTGTTAGTTACCTCGAAAGCATAAATTTATAATTATTATTAATAGTCTTACGAAATTAACTTGTATTAATATCATACAAAAATGGCTTATGAACAAAACATAAAATAATATTGCTCTGTAGTATTTTGACCTAAAAATCTATTATTTAATACTCATAGCCAATTCACTTAATCTACCTCACCTAATTGTAACTTTAAAGTTATTTCATAATATATGAATGCTACCTACCTAAAATAAATATTATCTATACTAATGGCAGAGCTGTTTCTGTCCAATTCAATATTATTTACTGCTGACGCTGCGGTTGTTATTCTAACACTAACACCGACTTAGATGCCGGTCTACCTTAAGTCTAAAATTAAAAATAAAATGTGACACTTGTGGCATGTTATTAACTTTCGAAATGACACTAAAATGTTGTATTTTCTTGTTGATAACTTTATACATACTCAAAGAATTAAACATTGCATTACTTTATAAATTGTACGTCGTCAATAAAAACTATTAACTTACTGTGTTAAAGTGAACTGAAAGATCTTCACGTTGTTCTTCAGACAAATTCATGTTCCTTTTCTGAGACCCCGCCATTATGAAAGATAGTCCGCGACTCTGCGCAAGAGGTTTGTGTTTAACACGTGACATGACTCATTTGCTGATTCATTGTAGTTGAGGGTAGGGTTCAAATTTTTGTTTCAAACGGATATCCTAATCCTGTTAATGACGAAATCTGTTCGATAATTAATAAAGTATTTTGTTTGATTGCCATATGACATAAGTCTTTACGAGAATATAAGTCTTACAAAACAACTCGTGCCAAAAACATTTATTATACCTGTAACTTTGTGTACAATCATCATAAAAAAAAAGGTTGATGTATATCAATTTCAAATCAAAACAATTATTTTATAAAATCCAATTGTGTTTGTCGAACACATTTAGAACACGCACATACACCCTCTACTCGAATTATTAAAGCGGTATTCACTGATGTCATTCAGTATTGTTACGTATCTGCTTGTTTGATAATTTCCGGTAAAAATTCTTTCCGAGAAACTTCAGCGATACAAGTCCCTTCTTGATTAAAACTAGTTTATTCTTTCTCGATACAACTTTGTAATACACTTAACAAATTTTATAACACACGCTATAAATCACAGTGATTCACACACTTTACTTACGGTGCCTACTGTTAGCTTGACTCAATTATCTCTATCTTCAATCTATCTGCATATCTATCAATCTATGCAATCCTATTTTTTTTTTTCGCTGGCTTTATTTGCCGGGTTTATATACTAAAAAAGAGGGCGCCTGGAACAAACTAGAGTTGCCAGAAAAATTCATAATCCTTCTAGAAACTCCAGCACACATGCTCCCAGCGTGCGTGACTTCCGCTGTCGTAACACTGCCCCTCCCTTAGTATTGTTCGTCCCGAACAATAGCCACTTACATTAAACCAATAGATAATTAACAATAACCTTATTAAATGCACAGAATTTACAAACACAAAATTAAAATTCAACAAAGTCTCTTAATTTTACGGGACGTATCTTCTTC